CTGTATTTCACTGATGCAGGAGAACGATGAGGACTCTTAATGGCATCCCAAAAAGTTTTCCTGTCCTCAACAAGGTTTGGAAAATGGTCCCATCTCATATCATACAGTCATTTCAGGTGCAGAAGTGGAGTGTTGCTGCGTACCGCTGGCCATAGCCGGTGGTCTTTTCTCTGCTCTCTCTGCAGTGCTGTCATCAGATCCTTCCTCCGGCTGCTGGAGGGATGGAGGGACGGATGGACGGCCGGGCTCATCCAGCCGGAGCCCCCGTCACAGTCCACCTGTTTGAGACCAAGACAAAAGGTGGGAAATAAACAGTTAAACTCACGCCTGAGCCGGGGGTCTGACGCAGAACCAGAGAAATCTTAAGCTAATAATTAAGAGGCGAAGCTGCGATCCCAAACAGGAAAAGCTGCTTAAGCACCACAGATGTGTTTCCATGACATCACGCTGGCTCACTGGAGACTTTCACCTGCATCACCTTCACTCAGCCACGAAACACACGTCTGCCTTTACAGTCAATCACTTTGCATCGGAGACGTGCTTATTGTGACAGATTTGGGTCCCCACAACATGAGTAAGACCCCCCAGCACACACACATCCAGCAGTGCTTTCTAATCTCTGAAAACACACACACACACACACACACACACACACACACACACTCCACCCTTGATGCTGCGTGTTGTTGGTGGGCTGGCATCTCGGTCATTACCACTTCCCCACCCCTGCGCTGAGCCGAGCTGTCGGAGCCACATGGAAAACATCAGAGGAGCAAAGTGACAGCGCTCAGAGGCTCCCGGCAGATCCCTCGCTTCTGTCCGACGGCCACAATTCAGCTGCGTCCGGATCGGTTATTAGCCGGCAGCGTGCAGGGAGACTCCCACTGTGATTGTTTTCCTGCAGCCTCGGCTCTGGACGGATTTTATTTCAACACTTTTTCTGTTTTGCTCTTTGTTTCCACCACTTTGGCACCTAAATGCAGCATCCTAGTGGAAGCTCGATGATTTTTTTTTTTTTTTTTTTTGTTTTGCTCTTTGTTTCCACCACTTTGGCACCCAAATGCAGCATCTTAGTGGAAGCTCAGTGATTTTTTTTTTTTTGCACAAATAAACAACAAAAGAAAACTTCCATCATAACAGCAAAAAAATAATAATAATTTGGGGAAAAAATGCCAAAATGTTTTTATAAAGGGCTGATTATCTAATATAGTTAGTATGAAACACTGATTATAGCTGGAAGATGAGAAAAACAACAACAAAATGTGACATTAAACTATTGTTTTTTAAAAAGATATATCAAAAAACACATATATCTTTTATAATTGCACAAGTTTTCATAGCAAAGATGCTGCCTGAACGTGTTTACATCGGTGCATAATATCAATAAACATGTAAAAATACAGTTTTTATTCTTATAAGTATCATTTAACATTCTCTATATATCGATATCTCTACATATGCTAATTCCTTATATAATATAATAATGTATTCTGCCTCTCTATCTCTAATTATATGATGATGTTCAAGACGAATGAACTAATGCGACACACGTAACCATGGTAACCGTACACAAAGATGGCGGCTTCTGTTGCTTTAGAAGATATAAAGGCAAAAAATAAAAAGTTAGATTAAAACTTCAATGCCAAAGTCTTGTTTTTACCATTTCTTGATTTAAACAAGGCAGAAACATAAAAACTAAATCAACATCCGGTGCCAAAACGATGACTGTTGACAGTTAATTGATTAATCGTTGCAGTGAAATCACGCTGGTGCTTCCTTCGTAGTTTAATTTTACATTCTGGACCAATAAACAAACAAAAACCCAGAAAATAAAGACGCTTCAGCACCATTATCACATTTTTCTTTGCGTCAAAGTGCAACATTAATTCTTCTCCGTGAGTATTTCTACTCGTGAAAGAGTCTGTGCGATCATATTATTTCTACATCCAGAGGAATTTAATCTGAACTCGTACTTCTGTATATTTTTTGTTTATTTTTTTCTGATATTTCTTCTCTGCTGCAACATTCATTCATTCATAAACACAGGAGCTGCTGACAGATAACTGTGTGGACTAGTAATGGTGCTAATTTGACAAAATACAGTCATGACTCGATAATCTGACACTAAATGTAAAACCGTCTTTTATGTCGGATTGTCAAGACGGAGGTCCAGATACAAGGAGGGCTTGATGCTGGAAGGATCATTAGTTGTTAATATTTGTGGTTCACAGTTGTTATAATAACTAGTAGGGCTGGTCCCAATAGCACTTTCTGCTCTCTGGATATTCAGGCCCAATTAATGATGAATATCCGAATATTCGGTGCTGTCGGTGTCCGGAACACACAGACAGTACTTGGCTGCTGATGCTAGTTTAGTTATCGCTCACACTACTGTTTCCACCATCGGTGGCGGCGGGGGAGTGGCAGATACGCTCCATAGATATGCGTAATAAAGGCTAGATGTCTTAAGGCAGCGTTCCGAGCTGGATCACCCTTCGACCATCTTGGTACCAGGAAGCTCTCTGGTGGAACCTGTGGTACGTGAAGGAAGGTGAGTGATCTGCACAAACGTAAACACTCTTATCTCGCTGAAATCTTGACGGATTTACAAGCGGTTTGGTTTCTTACAAACCTTATTAACGTGGCTACAATTCAAGTTACAGAAATACAAATAAAATACAAAATAATTAAAATACTAATTGTTGATGGCCGTGACAGTGTAACATAATTATCCATCAGTGCAGTGTTATAAATACACCTCTGATGTTTATAACAAACCAAACCGTTTGAAAATCGGCAGAAAATTGAGCAAGTTATGGTTATTTAAAAAGTACCTGCACCACGACAACACAATGTTATGGGTGAGCGAGCGGACCGAGCCAAGATGGCCGCCAGTGTGGCCGTGCGATTCCATTGGCCGACAGCGCGGACAAGACATCTGGCCTTTCTTATACATATCTATGCACTCCACCATTACAATACGTCGCATTTAATTGGAAATGTGAACGAACTCGCAAAAAAATCTGAATGTAGCATCAAGTCCTGCAGTGTGAACGTAGCCAATCTGTGGGATTGTTCAGTCAGATAATACGCCGTCATCCTGATTGGTGACATAAAACGTCATGTTGGAGTCAGAATCCAAGGCTGTCGNACACGTAACCATGGTAACCGTACACAAAGATGGCGGCTTCTGTTGCTTTAGAAGATATAAAGGCAAAAAATAAAAAGTTAGATTAAAACTTCAATGCCAAAGTCTTGTTTTTACCATTTCTTGATTTAAACAAGGCAGAAACATAAAAACTAAATCAACATCCGGTGCCAAAACGATGACTGTTGAGAGTTAATTGATTAATCGTTGCGGTGAAATCACTCTGCTGCTTCCTGTTGTAGTTTAATTTTTCATTCTGGACCAATAAACAGACAAAAAATCCAGAAAATAAAGACGCTTCAGCATCATTATCACATTTTTCTTTGCGTCAAAGTGCAACATTAATTCTTCTCCGGCAGTATTTCTACTGAGTCTGTGCGATAATGTTATTTCTACATCCAGAGGAATTTAATCTGAACTCGTACTTCTGTATATTTTTTGTTTAGTTTTTACTGATATTTCTTCTCTGCTGCTGCAACAGTTATTCATTCATGAACACAGGAGCTGCTAACAGATAACTGTGTGGACTTGTAATGGTGCTAATTTGACAAAATACAGTCGTGACTCGATAATCCGACACTAAATGTAAAACCGTCTTTTATGTCGGATTGTCAAGACGGAGGTGGAGATACAAGGAGGGCTTGATGCTGGAAGGCTCATTAGTTGATAATATTTATTGTTCATAGCTGTTATAATAACTAGTAGGGCTGGTCCCAATAGAATTTTCTGGTCTCTGGATGTTCAGGCCCAACTAATGATGAATATCAGAATATTTGGCGCAGTCGGTGTCCGGAACGCACAGGCAGTACTTGGCTGCTGATGCTAGTTTAGTTAGCGCTCACACTTCTGTTTCCACCATCGGCGGCGGTGGGGGAGTGGCAGATACGCTCCATAGATATGCATAATAAAGGCTAGATGTCTTAAGGCAGCGTTTCGAGCTGGATCACCCCTCGGTCATCTTGGTACCAGGAAGCTCTCTGGTGGACCCTGTGGTACGTGAAGGAAGCTGAGTGATCTGCACAAACATAAATACTCTTATCTCGCTGAACTCTTGACAGATTTACAAACAGCTTGGTTTCTGACAAACATTATTAACGTGGCTACAATTCAAATTACAGAAATACAAATAAAATACCAAATAATTAAAACACTAATTGTTGCTGGCCGTGAGAGTGTAACATAATTATCCATAAGTGCAGTGTTATAACTACACCTCTGACGTTTAAAACAAACCAAACCATTTGAAAATCGGTAGAAAATTGAGCAAGTTAGGGTTGTTTAAAAAGTACCTGCACCACTACAACACAATGTTATGGGTGAGCGAGCGGACCGAGCCAAGATGGCCGCCAGTGTGGCCGTGCGAGTCCATTGGCCGACAGCGCGGACAAGACATCTGGCCTTTCTTATACATATCTATGCACTCCAGGCTGTCACTACGTTAAGGCTGTTAGTTTTTCCTAAAAACCTGTCGGATATCAAGGTTTAGGATTGTTAAGGGTCGGATCATCGCGTCACGACTGCACATCAAGAACTACCGGCTAAACATGATGCTACAAAGAGAACATCGGTGTTAAACTGTGGCTGACATCACATGAGGTCTGTCTCCTGATTGGGTTAACTTTTGACGGCCTAATTAACAAGAATTAACAGAATCATTAGAGCCAATTAAAGTGCAAACAGGAGCTCCTTGTGGCTCCTTGTTACGCATTCGAGGGTGAAAAACGATGCAGCGGGTGACGTTAAAGTCACCCGGAGATTCCACAAGCGCGAGGAATTAAAATTTGGTCTTGACTTTGAGCGCCTCCTCACATGTCTGCTCCCATCCGGCGCCATCAGACCGTATCTCTGACGGGAGGATTGGTTTGTCATGCCGAACACGTCGGCCGCCTCGGCCCCGCTCTGCTCTGCAGTAATCACCATCACTCACATCTGACACCAGGAAGCCGGCGGAGCCCCCGCAACACATCCCGCTTTAATTGAGACACAATCATATCAATGGCTTTTCATTAAGGGCCGTGTAGTTCGGGGAGACTTCCAGCCAAAACTCCACCGTGTGCT